ATCTAAAGGCAAAAAATTAAAAATTACGCTTTGAAAAATTCTTTTGAAGTTAAGGATTTTTACCTGTGCAGGTAAGATGCGCATTAATAAACGCAACCACTACCGCCAGCCAGGTAGCCCGGACTCTAACCGAAAGAGCAAGAAAGCCAGCATATCAAAAAACCAACTGTTCTAAAATTATTGTTTTCCAAACGTTGCTAGCTCCCGTACTATTACAGCAACTACGTTTATGTATGAAACAGTATACCTGATGGGGACAAATTCTAATGCGCCACAGTGGATATCTAATCAAATACAATCTGATAGATAAAAAGGGAACTATTTTATCGATAGTGAAATTTGGCGGTTTGGATTTTCAACAAGAATCTAACAAACAAATCTGTTATGGCAGAATTTTCTGCTTTTTCATTTACTATTCATAAATTTATGTCCAACATATGATTAATTCAAAAGTTATATAACGTTTACAAGTCAGTCAACAAAAGAGTTGAAGTTCCATCTATAGAAATTGTTAGTCATAAAGGCAAGGAAGAGCAAAACTACTAAAATGCAGCAAAAACCTCTGAAATATATTCCTTCGTTATGTGGTTTAGTCACTTACAATGCTCATGCCAAGACAATCTTTTGTGATATCAGATGTAAAAGTTTGTTACTGTCGTAGTAAAAAAATGATCTTCATTGAATGTGACAAAATCTTATATTTTTTGAAAGGTACGTACATATAAAACGAAAACTTGGCTTCTGCGGAAAAATAGCGATAAAAACAAAACACAACAAATATATGATGGAATTGGCCGATACTTGTTTTTACTTTTGTCTTACTTTGTCTTACTTGTCTTACTTTTTTTGTAGAAGTTACCCTTTCGGAAATATTCGGCTTTCAAATCATAAAATTCTTGTTATATAACAAGGGTAATATCTCTGGAAACTATTGTAGCTACACCTTCATTACTCGACAATTAATTCTATATTAAAACGATTTCAATCTTTTTTCGGTTTCAAAATTATCGGGATGTAATTTATAATATAGATAAAGCGAGAAACACACAAACCACCCAGAAGTTTTCCTTCCTTATTCTGAAGAGCACGATTTAAAAACAGTATGCACAGCTAACCATCAAATTTCCTCTATTCTATGAACACCTAAGGACACGATACCCAATAAGGCACAAGTCATATATGAAATACTAACTTCCACCTGCTTCAAGACATCCAATATTGGTCAGACCAATAGAAGAGTCTTCAACAGAGCCCTATGACTAAGCCTGCTGTCCGTTAATCAGATCCAGCCTCCTTTCTCTTCAAACATAATCGTGAAACAGGTCATACAATGAGCTTTGAAAACACCAATATCATCGCCACCGAGAAAACTCTCCATCAGGTCAGGTTAATCCGCGAAGCTATTGAAATTGGAAAACGTCCCAACTGCCTCAACAAACGGAATGATTCACGCTGTACATCCCACAACATTGCACACCTCGCTTCTGCAAGTCACACTACCGGTCACACTAACGGCCGCCCCTTCACTCATCCAGGGACAGAGCCTGTGGACAGTCTAGACCCACAGTCGACGCTTGGGAGACCCCAACGTTAAGTCACAAAACCCTTAAAGTCTGTCACTATCTGAGGATGAGGGGTTGTGTTATTCCGAGTTTCATTCTGTGTTCTGTGTTTTTGATCGCCCCAAGGATCAATTTTACGACGCTTCGGCAAAGTCTCGTCTGCCATCTTCTGGTGATGTCTAGATTATGGAGCTAGACTGAATTTCTGGAACTCTCTTAATTTATAGGTGTGGCAGAAACCTTCCATTCTGACTTATTTTCCCAACATGAGTTGGTCTGATCACCTGCGCTGGTAATCAGCGCAGCTGATAAATTTGGCACTCTTGGCGGTCGCCCAACACCTTCCTAATAGGTTCGCTGTCCCTGTTCGAACCCTCAAAAAGGATATTTAGCATATTCTCATTTGTTTTTTCTTCAGAAAAATTTTTACGGTTGATTCGACTAAATGGATTTTTGTAAAAGACTACATTTTTACGAGTATTATGAAATAAATATAATATAAACTCACCTGTCTTGAGGGGGTCGCTTTCGTCGGTGATGGCTGACTGGGCCACTTCATCATAGACACGGATGGACTTCTGACCACCAGAGGTTGTGGTAAGTCGGACTCTGTCATTGCGGGGGAAATGGAAGACTGCATAGGCAACGGTTCTCCCCCCGCTCCTGTCATGGGACCGCACCGCGGCTCTGGATAACACAGAACTTATTATTTACTTCCTTGGTCTAGTGTTACGAGGGAGAATGAACAATGTGAATATGTTTCGGGTAATGAAAATGTATCTTTAGCTTTGAACTTTTATAACTTTGAACTTTTATACTCTCAAAAAATACAGGGAGAGTAGATGTGAATGTTTTTTATATCAATATAATCATCATGAATTCAGGCATTCGCCCACAATTCAAACTCTACAGAGATAAAAACATAGGCCAACAGTGAACAAATCGATAATAAAATAGAGTACAATGTGATAAGAGATTCATAACAGGCTAGTTGCCTCTTCTCTTCATTAAACATGACATTCATTTCTTCGAAACTAAAATGTTTACATCGTTAAACCATTACCTGAAGTTTCACTTAACATCAAAACACTTTTTATTTTATTGAGGTTGGATTATGATTACAGAAAACTCATCAATCAATGAATGAACAGCTGTTTCTGTCATTCAGTTCAGAGGAAAAAGTAGAAAACTAATAAATGAAGCCATAGCCTTTGCAAATGCAAATAAAAAAATTGTTTTTGAAATGGTTTTCGCAAATGATTCAAGTGGTCTCTGTTGTAACTATCTAGGATCAATTGTATTCAATATCCAATAACTGAAAACTGAAACGCATTCTTAAACAAGCATAATAATTATCCAATATCAAAAAGAATGATACAATCTAATGCGGTTCATATAAATTTCAGCTCTGCGAAGACATTTCTGATTTTGAACTTATTCTAAATGGTATACAACAAATATCCACGTTTGAAAATGATATTTTTTCCGCTGAAAATATTTGCACTAACTCCTCTCGTGCCATTTTTTGTTCATCTGCAGTTGATTGATTCACAATGTTCCACTTCCTCGTTCGATTATATTTATGATTTATATTGCTGATTTTGCTTCTATTAAAATAACAATTATCCCTGCCTGTAGAATAATTAATATCATAATCCGGACATGACAACTGATAACTTTGAAGGATGTCAATTTGTTTTTTTTTTCGTATTTTGCAATAGTTATTCTCCTACTTTTGTTCCTAGACAAATCTGTCTAGCGATTCTTGAGTTTTAAATAGAGCAACTAATTTCGCGACTTTGAATAATAACTCATCTGTAAATATTAAATGTAATATTAAAGGTGGCCCTATACGATCAATCTGTTTGATCAAACGATTAAGTGAATCGATTGACGCGCGCTTCAATCTTTTGATCAAAACCTTCTTCTTACCAGAAATGGGACCAGTACACACTTGTTGTTCGTTCGCTGGTGGTTCATTTCGGTGAGCAATGCTTTCGAACGCGGATTTGGCCTTCCTCTCCCTCACATTGGTTGCGGAAAAAACCAACAGAAAAAGAAACGACGGTGGTCTAAGGAATGGTACATGGTAATGATGCAGTTGTCTTGTTTCTGTTGTAATAGTCCTTGCTTTTCACTTTCCATAATTCCAGACAATCGCGATATAATTCAATCAACTGCTTAATGAATTCCCGCTCAGAGTTTTCGGGAAGCTCACTTTCCGTAGCGGATGCCATGGTTTCTACCTAGTGACTGACGCAATGCTTGACGAAATCTGCCCTAGACGATCAACTCCCCCTTTCAACCGCTTGAGTCATTCAAACTTTCTATCAATCACCATCAAGCCTCGCTTCAAGCGTCAAACAGGTTCCCACATGGTCAATCACGCTTGAGTCAATGGATTGACTCAAGCTTTTGATCAAAATGATTGACCGTCTAGGCCACCTTTTAGGATTTAACTTTTTCAAAATTGTATCAAAATGTTATATACGATTTAATAGGACAAAGATACCTAAAAAACATTATAATGTATTGTTGTCAACGAAGTTTAGATGTTTTAAGAAATTAGATGATATATTCTCCCAATTTGAAAGAAAATCATTCGTCTTCCCTCGTATCAAAAATTAGTTTGATATTTGTTTGGTCCCGCGTGATGTAGCAGAGCCGTTTAGTAGTTGATATCAATCGCGTGTACCAGCTTGTGTTTGTTGTGGAAAGTTGGCAAAAATGGAATGATCGAAAAGAGCACAGATGTAAGGATCTACCGGAACTCGAACTATTAGTGGAATATTTGGAGAACCGGAAGTGAGCTTTTGGAAAAATACATGAAAAATAAACTTGGACATAAAATGGTATTTTAGCTGACGTAAGTGAATAATCAAGATTTACTAACTGAATATCGAATGATTTTTATATAATATAATGGAATTTTTCTCAAGATTGAAGTTTGAAGTGAACAGGCAGAGTCCCTTAATGTGCAGGTGTTAACTAAAATAGAATACTCGTAAATGCTGTTGGAGAAACAATCTGACTTTCCGTTAACCAGGTGTCGCCCTCTACGAAAGACCACGTCAAAAGTACAAACTTGTATGAGTTAGCGATTAATGAGGTCTTAGTTTTTAACGTGCTATTTCCAAAATCTCAAGAATTACCAGAGTGAAGATTGGGTACGTACATTTCTTGTAATGCACTATTTGGAACCTTTGGTGTGGTAGTGAATATTACTGGAGTTTTTTCCTAACATCAAACCGTTATTTTAACACCTCGACACGTGTTTTGATCACCAAGTGATCATCTTCAAGCGGAATAACAAACTAATCATACTTACAAACTATCCTTATTTATATCATAGATACCTGTTCTAGGTACCTGCGTCTCGAGTGTCTTAAATTCATTATACAATTTGCCTTATCTAATTAATTATTTGTTGTCTCAAATTAATTTTACAATGTGTCCTTACGTAATAGTCAGGTATATCTAATAATTGATATATTATAAGCTACATAAAATTAATTTCACCTATTGCCTTATCTACCAGTCCTAAATAAATTTCACAATGTGTCCTTATGTAATAGTAAGGTGGATCTAATAATTGAATTATTATAAGCTACATAAAATTATTGCCTTATCTAATTAATTATTTGTTGTCTCAAATTAATTTTACAATGTGTCCTTACGTAATAGTCAGGTAAATCTAATAATTGATATATTATAAGCTACAATAGATGCCTGTTGTTGTTAACTTGTCTAACTAATATTAATGAAATGAAGTCTATGGGATGGTTTTGTTGCAAAGTATGATGGGCGACTGCTGATTTTTCAGGTTTTCCATATTTTAGTGTGCTAAGTGTTTCTTATATCTTATTTCAATAGATCTTTTTGTCTGTCCATAATATTTTACGACATTCGAGGGCACTTCTCCAGCTCTATCATCGTTGAGGAGCCGGTAGACGCGGTCCCATGGATTTTCAAAAGGGGATAGAACTTACACCGAAGGGAACGAAGAAACCAGTAGGTATCTACTGAACAAGTACTTCCCTAAGGACGACCCCTCAAACGACACATCAGCCAGATGCTGGATTAGGAAAGGAGCAACAGGAGAATGGGCTGAAAAGCAGCCATTCTTCTCGGTCGGGGAGCTGCGCACAGTTGTTGAGCAGCTACCCGATGGGAAGGCGACAGGTATAATTGGGGTCCCTAACGAAGTCATTCGTAAGGTGACCGACTGGAAGGGAGACTGCCTGGTAAAAATATTCAACGCCTGTCTGGATAGAGGGTACTTCCCGGGAGTATGGAAAAGAGCAAAGGTTGTGTGGATACCTAAGAGGTAGAGGTAGAACACTCCCATGGATGCAAGAAATGTTGCTGGAGGAAAAGGAGGACGAGAGAGTGACAAAGGTGTATGTGGATGCTGGGGCAAAACTGGAAAACGAACGAATGGGCATAGGCTGGGCATACGAACGGGAGGAAAATGAATGGGTACAGGGGAACGAAAGAATCCCCGGACAGAGCAGTGTGAACGAGGCAGAATTGGTAGCGATCAGGAAAGTGATAGGTATGTGGGATATGAATGAGAGTGTAACTGTGGTAAGCGATTCTGCCATAGCTGTGGAACGCATGAAAGTAGGAAGAACGAGGAATAAGAGGGTAGCGCGAATACAGAGGATGATAGAGGAGAGGAATGGGAGAGGAGCGCGGACCTGCTTAATCTGGAAGCGCGGCTATGAGAACAACAATTTCGGTGATAAAAAAGCTCACGAGGAAGCAACAAAAGGTATGAGGAACGCGGAAATCGTATGGGAAGTAGTGAGAATAGGTAGCAAGAGTGAAGAGAGGATCAAAGAACGAATCAGGATAGAGTGGCAGAGGGAACGGGACACGGGAGAGACTGGGCGGCTGTTCTACAGATTCTGTAGGACAGTCGGGAGTGAATCACTGAATCTGTCGCGAAAGGCCATCTAGCTGCTAACGGGACATGGTAACTTTCCGGGATACCTTGCCAGGTTCAACCTGGGCCCGGAACTACCAGAGTGGCAGAGGGAATGGGACACGGGAGAGACTGGGCGGCTGTTCTACAGATTCTGCAGGACAGTCGGGAATGAATCACTGAATCTGTCGCGCAAGGCCACCAAGCTGCTTACGGGACATGGTAACTTTCCGGGATACCTTGCCAGGTTTAACCTGGGCCCGGAACTACCATGTTTCTGCGGCTACGGTGAGCCCGAAACGGCGGAACACGTGATAGAAAGATGTATGGATGGAAACAGGACTGGCGGGAATGGAAAGAATATAAGGAGCGAGAAAATGGGGAGATAACATTGAGACGAGAGAATGGAAAGAATAGTGAATGGTTTGTCAATGAATGGGCGGAGAGTGTGGTGAGGGATGAAAGAGAAGGGTAAAGGGCAGGCTGTTAGCTTGGTGCCAAGGATTTGGAGTACCGAGGACCTGGAGTGCTGACGGCGGTCTCCCCAATGGTGGCGGCCAGGGATACTGTTCGTGCATCGAGCCATGTACAGAAATAACAGAAGAAATGTTTTTATTTCAATCATTATGTTAATTACTAGTATTGTATTCATTTTGCTTTATTATTGTATTGTTACTGTATTATTATGGAAATAAAGAAAAGGGTTTTCTGCCTCGCTAATTTGAAGGAGCAGGGGTCCCCTTGACAGTGGTTGCGATAGATTATTAGATTTACCTAACTATTACATAAGGACACATTGTAGAATTTATTCAAGACTAGTAGATAAGGCAATATAGCAATTAATTTTATATAGCTTATAATATTTCAATTATTAGATTTACCTGACTATTACACAAGGACACATTTTAAAATCAATTTAAGATAAGTAGATGAGGCAAATTGTGAATTTAATTTAAGTCAGTCGAAATGCAGGTACCTAGAACAGGTATATATGGTATAAATGGTTGTAATAAAGATGATCACTTGGTTATCGAAACACGTGTCGAGGTGTTAAAATAACGTTCTGGTGTTAGGAAAAAACACTCCAGTAATATTCACGTACATTTCTGATCAGATAAAATATAAATAATCCATATTGAACGAAAATTATTTTTGTAGAGAAAATTGTATTTGTTATTTGTCGCATTGAATAATTGTGCCCATCAGAAAAATAGCTGATAAATTACATAGATACTTATTTTGAAGTTTCATAAGCTAAAATTCCTTTACGTCTTTAGATTAGAAATGTTCTCTTATATCAGTCTGTTGTAATTTCGCCACCATACGTATCTTTTTTCAAAAGGGGTTGTCAAGTATGATCCAGTTGGGCTGAATAAACTTGCAATGATAACTAGATTGAGAGAGGTTGGTAATCATATACCTATAAGTCAATCTTGTGTGTATTGACGAGTGAAGACTCAGAAAATTGTTACTTAATGCAAAAGAGACAAATATATCAAAAAAGCTTGGTGATCAAACCATTTTTCAAGCAATCAATTTTGAAAACTCCACAGACGATTGACGAATTGAAACTGGTATATCTTCATAATTGAAACGCATTCAATAGGAGTGAAATATATCAGTAGGATTTTATATAGGACACAAAAAGAAATTCAAAACATTTCTATTACTTGTTCCTTGCAGAAAATTTTACGTCATTTCAAATGCAATATGGAGAATAGTTTTTGTGAATCCTTCAGAATGGAAAAGAAAATGAGAAAGAAGAAATTCACAAAGTAAATAATAATAGTCAATAGACAAATGCATAATACTTCGTTGGGAACAATGATGACTAAAAAAAATCACACACTTAAATTTTATACACATCTATTTTTCAGGACTGTGATTGCGATTTTGTGCTGTGTGTTTTTTATGTTCACCATCAATCGAAACTAACCGCAGTATGGGGAACGTTCCTCAATTTGTGTTATTACAGCAAATGCAAGGCAGACAAAATAAAGTTGAGTTTAATTCATGAGTTTTTCAAATTCACTTCGAAAAGTATTCAAATTGATGTTTCAAATGTTGGGTTTTAATTTTTAAAGGGATTTGTTTCTAATTCACATATTGGCCGAACATGCCATGTTCGATCAAATGTCAAGATTTGATCACTGTTGTCTTCGATTACCGTGAAATAGTACACCAGGAGTTCTTGCCGCATGGTCGTACGGTCAATAAGTAGTATTATCTTGAAATTATGCGCTGCAATATGAAGAAAATGTCCGGCATTGTGAAAGAAATTCATGGCTTCTTCATGACAAGTAATGCACCAGATCAATCGTCATTGCTTGTTCGTAATTTTTTGGCCAAAAAAACACCGTAATTAAGTCTCAGTCACTGTATTCACCCGATTTGGCAATGTTTGCGCCCAAGTGATGATTCACCAAAACCAGAGGCGAAAAAGCTCTGCACGGTTGATTCTGAGGCATCGTCAGGTTTAGCTGACGTTCAAAAACCCTTATATGGGAAGGTTGTCGCGGGTATCAAGGTGGGAATCTTGCACCTTGACTATCCGACTACCTCATTAACGATGAAACATCAAACGAAACTTTGTGCCTGCCCCGCTGGGGACCAAATCAGGTTTTAGAGTTCCTAACATAACCTAACTCAAATACAGAAACTTTACTAGATTTCAACAATCGAATATTTACTTGTCTTGCCGATATGGAAATGAAATGAACAAATTGGCCACTCAACAAAAAAAAAGAACACTTATTTACAAGTATATTTTGAAAAACACTTTTTCAGGAAAAAGTTTATGTTCCCTGATGTATTTTTGGATTATAACTTTCACAATCTAAAAAATAAATAGATACAGATCAGGAGAGAATCTGTTCTCAAATGAAATTCACCCCAAAATTTCACTGCGTAATATAAACTTTCGAAAAGTCTAATTAGTCAGTGAATTGTATTTGAAAATTTCGACTATAAATGAAATAAATGATTGAAAATATAAAATTATTGACGTTTGTCAAAACTAATGTGTATATTTCTGAAAGAGGCGTTTCTGTAACAATATTTTTAAATTTACAGAATGGAGGACAACGTTCAAAAATACTACAAATTACTGCCCAATTAAAATTTTCAAATGTTTATGTAACACAGTAACTTTTCGGGGTGAACTTCTCAGTTTTATCTTCACTACACCTGAGAGCAGATTTATTGTTGATCCAAATTTATTTATTTATTAGATTATGGAAGCTTATATAATTATTAATGAATCATCAAGGAAGTTATGTATACATTGGAATATTATGTTACAAAAAACATTTATTTTGTACCACTCTTCAACTTACATATCCTCCAAACCACTCTAAAATCGAGGTTAAAAATAGTATTGAATGAAAAAGAACGTTTTTCAACTGAAACATTTCATAAAGAGCTCGGTATTGAATTCAAATGGAATTTGCATGTGGGAAGAAAGCAATTAGGTTCATGCATAGAAGTTATAAACTGAAAGTAGGAGCCCTCTCGAAACGATCACTTTCTCATGAACATTGGATTACACGATAGAAAAATTACTTTGGAAACAATTACTTTCATGTGAACATTTATACGGAGATACCTTTTTTCTTTTCAGTTAATACTCGTTATGGAATCGAATCAGACATCATACATATGAACGCTACACAATATATGAAAGAGTTAAGAAAATTCAACTTACATGAAACAATATTTATCCTCTATGGCAATGTTCGAAGTTTCGGATTAGGATACTTGTTTTATTACCTCATCAGCACCGTTCTGGATTATATTACAAGGTAAAGCACTCACTTCATTCATAACATTACGACTTTATATCACGGATGACAAATTTCTCATGTCACGATGACAACACCTAGAGCTTGTCAAATGTAGGAAGAGCTCTGTTAATTTCGATATGGTCTAGGGAGGGAACGTGTAGGTTATGAGAATTCTCAAGTTCCTAGATTTGACAACCGGCACGTAAAACCATTCATACGCTTATTTAATTTAATCCCAGCCATATGAACTTGTTTGAATTGAGAGAGGTGTATGTTTACAAATGTTAATAAATTAATTTAACAAGCTACTGAAAGAACAAGATCCAATCAGTAAAAACTATTCAAATTCTACATTGAAAAAACTTACGTTTTATTCTAAAAATCGCTTTCTTCTTATGCATCCTTTTTTTTTATTATAATAGTTGCTTCCACCGTTTCACAACCCTGACTACCAGTTGAATATAAACTTTATAAATGTGAGGTACCTCTCATTCAGCTAGGACGGTGGGTGAATGTATAATTTTTGGTTATGAAATAGAAAGTGTATGTATTTACACATTGAATGAATTGAGTTGGATTGGAATATATTTAACCCAACCATATTATCCAAAATGCAGAATATATCAATAGTGGGGTTTACCCTATAGGTTTTCCACTTTCAAAACTGGGAACTGGGAACATTGTTAAATTATGGAAAACGTGTTTGGATATAACAAAAATGAAATGCTTTTTCGACCCCTCTGTAGATAATTTTATCGAAATTTCGAGTTTAAGATGGTCATTTTGCAGGGTTCCAAATCAAAATTCTTCCAAAACTTGGTTGGATGTAACCATTTGAAAATTCAGAAAGGCGGAAATTTCAATTAGATGTATTATTTTTTTACCTCCAAAGTGGTATTTTGAAAATCGGTCCTTTTTGATACAAGGTAGGTAATTTGAAAAACAAAAATAATTCAACCCAAATCATATTATTCAATATTATCACTTTTGTTTATAGATTATACCTAGATTGTAGATTTTGGATATATAACAGTTGAATCTCAATATATAGTATTTTGGGAATTAACTGTTAATTCATGGCTAAAACCGCATGAACCTATAGTGTGATAAAAGAGTGATAATAAGAATTGTTAGTACCGTTGTGACGTCACAATACGTTACACAGTCGCACTACGATGAATGATTTTTTATGACGATTTTTTTGATAAAACACGAATCAGTTTCAGTTTTCCGAAGGATTATGAATAAGATATATTTATTGTTTTGGCTTTTACATCGCCATCTTTATACAAAAAAATTTGAGAAACTTCATCCAAACCAAGTTACGTCACGACGTTTCGATTGTTAGTATCCACAATCGTCTTCGGGTGATAATTGGACTTATTACTCCGAGATCTGACTATTTATAGGTCATTCGAGGGCTTTCACCTATCCCCTCCTCACTCTATCCGCTTCATTGGTTTTAGCTGGAGATGACCGTTTGGCGGAAGTTGGTCGTTTTCTGCTTGGTTGAAGGTTTCCATATGTTACGTATCTCTACGCTACCTTGGCTAAATGCGTTGTTGGACAACATATATGCGGCTTCTTTGAAATTTCTCCTAAACTACTGTTCTTTCTTGTGGATGATTTCAGCTTGAGCCCACTTGATGTTATGTTGATGAGTCCAAACATGCTCTGCTATTCCGAATTTTCTGGTTTCTCTTCGCGGTGTGTGTTTCTTGTGCTCAGCAATGCGAACTTTCAATGGCCTCTAGTTTCACCGATGTATGATTCTCCGCGCTCGCAGGGTATCTATTACCTCAGTAGTTTTCTTCGAAATTACTTCATTCGTTATTGATAAATTAAATGTTGAACGTTTTATTTAAGAAAAAACAGAAAATTTGCTGTCGTTCATTTTAATGAGAAAATCAACAACAAATAATATCAGTAGAAACAAAATCCACGGATAAGTTGTTCAAGATGACCTCCACCTAGTTCCATACAATAATACACTCTACTCTCGAAAGCGTTCCGTACATTATTCGAGATGTCCGGAGTCAGTAATCGGCATTTCCGAACAATTCTTTGTCGCAGGTCTTCTAGATTTGTAGGCCAAGTGAGTACACTTTCGACTTCAGGTGTCCCCACAGAAACAAGTCCATCGGTGTGAGATCAAGTGATCCAGCTGGTCACTCCACTGGATCCTTCCCTTCTGCGGATCCAACTTATTGGAAAACGTTCGTGCACCATCGTGCTGGAATTTTATTTAATTTTCTACTAAATTGTCATAATTTTCTATTCTAAAATTTGTGTAATCATAGGATCTACACGGTCGGTCGGTAGCCGGTCGGTTCGAAGTAGGTGCTTCATTCACTCACTCAAATCGGCCGCCGTGTTGGTCGATGGTTCATGCCCCAGCCTGAACGATCGATTTTTACTGTCTACCGTCCAACCCGTGTTAGGAATCACACGTTAAAAGGTAAGACCTCGTTAGTCCTTAGCTCGCACAAGTTTCGACTTCTGAGGGTTGTCGTTCGTAGGGGTGCGACAGATGGTTAACGGAAAAACAGATTTTAAAACAGATTTTTTTTAACAGATTAAATTATGTGTCTCCATTGAGATTACCTTCAATGAATAATGGTCCAACAATATGATTAACAAGAATGCCAATTTTGATGGAGTTTGTGAATGTGTTTCCATCACCAAATGAGGATTCACATCTCTCCAGTAACGACAATTATTTCCATTCGTTTCACCATTCCACATGAAAGAACTTTCGTCTGAAAAATATGTATTGTACAGGGTCTAACTGAATAAGTGTAAAACATTTAAGGAGGTGATTCCTCATCGAAGAAAATATAGGATCTTTCATATAAAGAAACTTCATTGGAGCATCCCTTGTTAAGATACAGCCCCTTAAAGGGGGTACATAAAATTTGTCTGACAATTTTTTTCACAAGCACTGAAAAAATTACAATATTGAAATTAACCTGATATTTTGTACTACCAAAAAGACACTTAGCCAGTAATTTATTTGGTTTACCCCATGGTTGTAAGGGGTGGAAAACCACAATATACGAGTTCGCAGCAAAAAATTATTTTACGAACAACCACAGAGATACATCGTCATAAATGCGAACTGGATTTATTGTTATTTTATAATTAGTACCTGCATTAAACGATTGAAGGGTAATAAACAAAACTAATTTATTAATAACAAAACCCACACATGTAGAAATCATAGTGAATGTTCAATATGTCTACCTTCAGACATTACGCATGCGTCTAGA